TAAACCATTCAAAGCATAATGAGCAAGGTCCAAATCTTTGACGTGCTCATTAATTGCCATAAAAGAGTCAGAAAGTGATTTGATTCGTTGAAGGCAATCTATGATGTCATTGTCTTTTTTGATGTTTTGAAGGTCTTTGAAAAGGTAAGATTTCTTGGCAGAAGATTGTTGTTGATAAAGCTCTTCAAGGGCATCCCAAGCTTGTTTGGTGGTTTTGATACCAAGTAGTTGTGAGGACAAGGATTTGGTCAAGGTAACATTGATACATGTCTTCACAAGCTGATCAAACTTATGACAAGTAATATATGCCGGATTATGTGTAGATTGGCCGATGGAGGAGTTGATGTTGGCCGGCGGAGAAACAAAAGCCGAGGAGATCGATGCTAATAAGAAGTGACAAAAGTTTCACAATAATTGGATGATTATCTCATTCAAGAGGTCTATTCTATTCATATACCTCTAACTGATAAAGAAGACGGACTCTATTTGGAAGCCTACTTCTCTAGAAAATTTCTCTATCAAAACTACTTGGAATCTCATTCAACTTCAAGGTCAGCCCAACATTCAAGCCAAATCCATCTGTCAACAAGTTTCTCCTCCAAGTGCACAGTTAGTTGGATGGAAGATTATGAATAATGCATTGCCTATGGACTCCACATTACGAGAATTGAGATTTTTCTGGTCAATAGATGTGTTTTATGTTGCAGTAAAGCTGAAACAGCTGCCCATATCTTCATTAACTGCCAATATGCAAGAACTATTTGGGGCAAAATTTTGACTCTATTGGGCTTTCAACTAATTGCTATTGAAGAGCCTATCATTAGGCTTATAAGATTGGTTAGAATTTTCAAGCATTCTTCTCTCAGTCATACCCTAATGTGGGGATATCATTGCTAGTTTACTAGCAAATCTGGAAAGAAATGTGTTGAACGTTCTTTGAAGATCAAAAGCAACACTCTTCTTCTATTTTCATGTCTATTATGTATTCCTGGCAATTACAAGTATACAACATTAGACCTAAGGCTATGGATTAAACTTTTTTTTTTTAATAGACTATGGATTCAGCTCAAGAACAAACTTTATTGCCATCCCTCCATATGTTTCTACCTTGTACAATCATTATGCATGTCAAATGGATCAATTGGAGATTGCCTTCAGAAGGTTTGCTTAAGTTGAATATTGATTGGGCATCTAAAGACAACCCAGAACTGTTTGGAGGAGGATCAATCCTAAGGAACCACTAGGGCCAACTGACCCTAGCAGGGTCCTACTTTTATGGCTTTTGCTCTAATATGGAGGCTGAGATAAGAGCTCTGTTGGATGGACTACGTATGTTACTAGATTTTGGCTTGGAAAATTATCCTCTTATCATTAAAATTGACTCTCGCATGCACAAAACCACTGAACACTGTCTTTATTGCAGTGTATTGTTACACTGTCTTTGTTACAGCGTACTGTTACATTATTTTTGTTACACTATGAGGGAAATACAGTCAACAGTTAGGAGATAAACACAGTTTATTCACACACAATGAATTAATATGACAAAAACATATATTAGAAACATTGTATTTCACACAAGCCAACAATTAACTTTCAACAACTGGTTTTAGTTTTCAAATGCCAAAGTTCGTACTTATTTTAAATGACAAATAAATCTTCAAAAAATATATGATGTTGATGATCTTTACATCAAATGGGCTAAACATTAAGATTTTTCCTTCAAAGACGAAACCCTATAAATGTTTAGGGAACAATTTTAGGGCTTATCGCTAAGAAAAATGAAGTAATTTTTGGAGAAGAAGAAGAAGCTCAAACGTTTTTCGAAGGTGAAGCGCTTCTCAAATAAATTTCAACGTATCTAACTAATTAATTTAGATATATTACTAAAACCGTTTTAGGAAAATAAATTTTAGGAAGAATAGATGAAGAGATTTCAAATTGCTCTCTCATTTTAGTTCTACAACTTAAAAGAAATTTCTCATGAATAGATGAAGAAATTAGGTGATTCCTTGCACTCCCAAAACATACAATTGAACAATTCAAGAATTGCTCTCTCATTTTAGTTCTCTCAATTATCCAAAATACTGAATTAAGTATTTAGTCTTTCTTCTATCTCTTTGTGCATATCGCTGCATTAGTATTTCAAGTTCGGTTTAAGTATAAACACATAATTGTGTTCGTTTAAGTCTTGGAGATTGAAGTGTTGCATCTTCAAGAATGAAATCCGTTCTATTTTGAGAGACAATTACTTATCAATCTTAAGAACTGAGAGAGGGCAAATCTGTTTTAAGGAAACTATGATTACACATCATTTGAATTACTATTTGTATTATTGGATTTCTGAATTTTAATATTCGTGTTGTTCTACGTCAATGTAAGTGCACTGGTTTTGATTTTTATACATTCTGTTTAGATTAGTGCATAAATTAGACTTTATATAATTTAATATAATCTAATTATATACATATATTCTATAACAATAGAGTCACTTATTTTTCTTCTGATGCTCTTCCTCTTTCTACTAGACTCCTATTGCTCTAGGATTTACGGCAAATTAGAGTCCTTAGGAGAAAATTTTTAGTTTCTAGATAAGTATTAAGGATCTCAAGTAACAACCTCATTTATGGACTGTTTTAGAGTACTTAATTCTTTCAAATTTTTTTTAGCTGGTGAAAAAAGGGGTGGGGACAATAAAGAATGCCCAACAACCACCCTGATAGGCATCACCAGTGGGATCATAAGACCCCTGACCACGCCTGGAACACCTCTCGGAACCAAAGCTAGCTAGGCTAGCATAGCAAAAAAAAAAGTCAACCACCAAGTCACAATGGAGACTCTAAGACTCAAACTTCTAACGTCAAGGTGAAGAGTAAAGTCGGTACCCCATTAGACCACCCTACTTGAAGGGTAAGGTACATACGTCTCCCAATGTAGGTGTAATTCTTTTTTGAAAATTAATAAAATTATGCTCTCATACCGTCAAGGTTCAACCCAAAACAAAAAACAAAATGATCTCCCCAAAGAAGGTAGTTGTTGCCATCAAGCTTGACGGAAACAAAATTGGTGATACTTGTAATTGGAAAAATGGTGGATAGTGATCTGTGTTAAAGAAGCAGATTCAGTTTAAGCCATGGTGGTCTGTTTAAAAAAAAAGAAAAAAAGAAATAAGACAAACGGGTCTACGTTTTAAGCTTTGATACCATAAAAGACAAAGAGTTTGACATGGTGAATGCCTTAACCGTAAGTGAACCTTGATATTGTATTTATAATCAATATACAAGTGTTTGAATTTACAAGTGATAGTTGAAAGTTATTGAGAACTCTAAAGGATTGAATGCCTAAAGATAATTCTGCAATTTGGCTTTATTTGACCACTCAAATTTTCGGCCACAACTTCCTTCTATCCACATCACATTCATCGCATTTGAAATAACAATGTGTGATGTCACTTTTGGCCCCTAATAGGTTCACAAGAAGTGTGGAGATAGTACAAAAAAGATAGAAGAGGCCAATCAACAATTATACGTTTCAAATAATGCATCGATATAAGAATTAATCTCTTTTAACTTTATTTTAGAATGGATTCATCATCCATTCAATTTCTATGTTCAATTACCGCGTTCAGTAATGTTAGACTGACTAAATTTGGAGCTCAAATGACATGACAGTTGATTTGAGTTTCTTTGATTGGTGTTATGTCATTTGGGTCTCAATAAAAATTTTAAATAATCAACTGTCATGTCATTTGAACTCTAAATTTAATCTCAAAATTTGGTTAATGTAACATTACTCTTACCGCATTTAGTCACCACTAACTCACCTCAGACATATGTGTTTTACCGAGTTAATTATTGGTTGTTAGCATGAGTCAATGGGTTGAAAGGTCATATTCAAAATCTTAGACCGTTCACCAGTTGAATTGGTCCAGTACGTTTTTAATTCAAGGAAATCAGGCATGTCTCAAATCAAAAAGAGAGCCATAGCAGTTAGCACACGCTTGTGGAAGGAAGGAAGGAAGGAACATAGCCTAGCTCTAGCTACCTAAAATACCATCAAGGTAATGGTAACACCTTTTTAATACAAAATTGATTCAATGTATTCTATTCTAAACCAAGTCTCCCATCCCATATCATATGTGAGTGATTCAGTACAACAAGACTTTGATATCTCGGCATAAAGTTGCCGGACGACTTGAATTGTCAAATAGTTATTTTACTCTCACAACAATTAAGTTCTCCCGGATAAAATAGATTTAACCTTAAATCTTTTTTGTGATTTCAATTTATCGGTTAAATCAAACTCTTTTATAAAAATCACAGTGAATATACCCTATTATTAAGTGCATTCATGTCTCTAATCCATTCTTACACCGACAATATCATCTAGTCCATCAGATTGTTCTTACTGTAACAATGCCAGAAGTTGAATGGATGATCATTGGCCTCGGCCAAACATGAAAAGGAAATGTATAAAATATCTAACAAGTTAGGAAAGAAGAACTGTAGTTTCCAGGAAGTAACGAAGGAGCTGTGTGTAAATCACGATATAAATAGGTCAACAGAGGTGGGACTACAAGGGCGAATCAACGGTAGAGATAGACAAGTACGAATCAACTTACACCACACGCACCTTCATCATGCTCTGCTTTCTTCAAAGTTCGAAGCCAAACAAATTTTTGTTTTGTCTGCACATGTAAATGTGTCCGTCAGAGGCTTGTTTTCGAGCTTCAATTCCGAAAAGATCTATTCAGACAATAAATATATCAAAGCAAAGGCCCCTCTTTTTCTTTTTCTTTTTCTTTCTCTTTCCTTCGGTCTATCAATGTAAGGATAAAAGTGGAATCTTCGCTGCATTTCTTTCCCCCTCTCTCTCTTGCTGTTGCTCTTGTTCCTCTTTCTTTTCACCAACAACAGTGGCAGTGAGAAAAGAAAAGGGCTTTACCAGCAGTGATCTTTATTATTGAAGTTTTGGTGGGTGTGCAATTTTGGAGAAAAGTAATGGGTGTGGTTTCGGAAGAGGCGATCAATCAGTTCCAAGCACTGATGGACATAGGTAAACTCTCTTTTAGTCTCAGATCTCCGTTTCATACTTTGCTTCAACTTACATTTACTAATTTTTACCTTTTTTTTTTAAATACCATTTGTTGTTGCTGATTACGGGCAGTTGAGGAACCGCTAAACAGAACATTCAAGGTTCGCATATTCTCCTTTTCATTAATCATTTTCAGCTCCTTTTTTTTTTTTAATGATTCTGCATCTGAATTTATTTATATATATAAGCAATATTTGAAATGTTCCATTGCTGAATTGTAAGTGAGCTTGCTTGGACAGTATACAGCCGATCAACTACTTTTCATCAGCAAAATTACTGCTTTTTTTGTTCTTAGCTCTATTTTGATAATTCTGACAAAATGTGGAAATTAAAAGAAACTATTATTTTTGGAATTTTAGACTTTTTCGCTGTGGGCGAATAAAATATAGACTGCTGCTCACTATGGTTATTGATTGGCTGGCTCCTCCAACTTTATTTACAATGTTCACCATATTACTTGGGTTCCTTTGTAAAGAACAGTGGTGGTCATAATGCCAACTTCTTTGGTTATATGAAATAAATATTACTCTTTCTGTAATATGTTGCTTCATGTTTGATGAGAACTGTCTATTCAGCTTTTCTGAAATAAAGTAACAAGGTTTGTCATTAGTGCATTCAATGTTGTTGTTGTTGGATACATTTGTTTCTATACAAAAGAAAATAGATCTTTAAGTGTCTGGAATGAATTTATGTAATCTTTTTCGGATTTTCCTTTGTCCATCTGCAGAATGTTCACCAGGAACATCCAAGAGAAGCTCTGGTTCGTTTCCTAAAAGCAAGAGAGGGAAATGTTGCCAAGGCCCACAAGATGGTCAGGCTCCACTTCTTTTTGGTTAAATATTATTCAAAACATTTTATGAGATGGAATCATTATTATTGTCATCTTCTCTGAATTAATGAGACGATGTTTGTATAATATTTCAGTTGGTAGATTGTTTAAAGTGGAGGGTGCAGAATGAGATTGATGATATATTAGCGGTAAGTGTGGAGTTCACTCAACTTTGGTGTCATCGAAGAGCTGAACAAGTGATCACTTTAATGTATGCATGTGTTAAGGTTTTGCATACTCGTGAATTTTCTTGTACATTTTATCCCGTTTTGGAAATTAAAGTGGTTAATAGCTTACCTCTACCTTACATATGATTATAAGTAATTGAAACTTGATAAATTTTTTGTTGTATTAGATGCATTATGTGAGACTGAATGATAATCATATTGAACAGTGCCTCATGTTCAATCCTCTAGTTTACAATATTAGGTGTTCTCCACTTGTTAACGCTACCCATAGATATATCCTTTGTAGCCTTACATATACGGAAGAATTTCCACTTTTACAATGCTCCAACTCTCTCTCTCTCTCTACAAACTAGACACAACCATTGTGGCAACTGGCAAGGTATCTCCACTGCTATCTGCACAGTAATGTCACTTTTCACTTATTTGAAACTGTATAATGGTATTGCTTATTTTATTGCCAATTAGTGCCGTACTCACTGAGAAATGAGTGATCAATGTGTCTTAGTGTTCTATTTTCTGTATCCTGAGTGCAGAAGCCCATCGTTCCTGCTGATCTGTACAGAGCTATACGTGATTCACAACTTATAGGATTACCAGAATACTCAAAAGAGGTGCTTATAGTTCCACTATATCTTCCTGCATGGGGTTCACTTTCAGATGGAATTTGAATAATTAAAAAAATGTGGTACTTCATGTACTCTTAGTCACAAGTAGTGATGTTATCACTTACAGGGCCTTCCAGTCTTTGCTATCGGCGTAGGTCTCAGCACTTTTGACAAAGCATCTGTAAGGGTTCTTGAAATTTCTGTACTCGTAAGTTTAGTAGCTCACTTGCATTTGAAGAACAGCACATAAGAATTATGGACATGGACACAACATATAAAGACATGTTTTGAATAGGCAAAAGTAGCACATGGAAACAGGAATGAATAATGTATTTTTCATGTATAACAGTGTTCTATGTTTGACAGATATTAGCTCGTGATTTTGTGTATAGGGGTAGCATTAAATTTGTAACTTGTAAATAGAGATAATCACTAATCAGTTATGTAGCAAAGATAGGAACACAGTAAGGACAATCTGTGCACGTGTCCGTGCAGGCATAGATGCACTTGTATGCATCATTAACATGATAACTCATTCCACCTCCTCCCCCCATCGAACATGGGTATACGATACATTCATACTAAAATCTTTATGTGTCATTTACATGATGAATGTCATTGTTGTTAAATAATTTTTTACAACCATTAATTTGATTGTTTTTTGCAATTATAGCATTTCTGTATATCCTTGGGGAATCATATGCCTAAAGTGTAGGGATTAGTGATCAAATGTTGTGCTTGTCCCAGAAGTGAGGGCTTCAAGTCTGAAGGTATAAATGTTTCATTTCCTTATTAAGGGCTTATCTACAAGGTGTTGGACAGACGTCCAGAAGTTTATAATAATTCTGTTGTCCAAACGTTTGTAACAGCCAACAGCTGCTTCTTTGAAGTGTCCATGATTTGTAGGCTTCAAGTAAAACATGAACATATGGGAACAAAAGGAGACTTATAGAATGACAGATTGTTTTGGCATTACCTGCTTAATAATGCTTCTATGTTATTTCAAAGGCAAAGGTAATATTAAGGACAGTAGATTACTTAATATAAATTGGCATTTGCACAGTTTCAAAGGAATTTGATGTTTAGACCCTTGTAGCTTTGATGTTTGCACCATGCAAATTCTATTATTTGGTTAGCATACTATTTGATGTTGAATGATCATGTATTACTCTCAAGTGTTGTATCAACACTACACAATGTTTTGTATGTGCAATAGACAGCTTTCTGAAATAGGGATGGGCCTTTCAATTGAAATCAACCTTACGATGTTCCAGTGATCTAAATCCTTGCAGCTGGAGTAGTGGATTCAGTTCCTTTTTTTTTCTCTCTTTTCTTGTTGCTTTTCTTTCTGTCATAGGGCGTGTGGAGAATATGCCTGTATAAGTATTTCAATACTCAATATCATGAAATAAGTTGTCTAAATTATACTCATGTTACTTACTTTCAGCTCCACTACTATGTGCAATCACACATTCAAATCAATGAATATCGGGATCGTGTCGTTTTGGTGAGTGGAGCATGGGATGCTCAAATTATCTTTTTTTTTATATTCCTCTTTACCTTCATGCAGTATCTCAACTTATTGATTTTGCTGTAGCCTGCTGCTACAAAAAAGTATGGGAAACTTATAAGCAAATGTGTGAAAGTGTTAGATATGACGGGCCTGAAGCTTTCAGCATTGGGCTACATAAAGGTATATCAGTGGAAAGGTTTATGTTTTGGAATATAATATCTCATAAATAATGGGGAAATATCTTTCTTGCTTCCTATTATGAATTTTGAAGATATCGAAATTATCGTCAATGTCTCTTAGCATCAAGAATATAATCATTAGGTATTTTATTTCAGTTTACTGAGGTTGGAAGGCCTTCAAATGCCACAGATATGTAAATGTGGTTCATCTTTTCTTTGTTGATTTTGCTCCATTCAAATCATCATCCTCTACTTCTTTTTCTATTTCTTTTATAGGCGCGTGAAATAAAATATATTATCGAGGGTTCCTCCTAAACATGTTCTTGATCAAAAAAGATAACAAAAGAAAAAGACAAGTGTGGAATAATGTGGATCTCAATGATTGAGAGGGAAAGACACAAAAAAGAGCTAAAATCTACAAATAGTGTGAATTTTGCATAACTTTGATATATCCATTCCAAAGTTAGATGGGACTTTTCCTTCAATCAGTTGTGTGTGTGAGAGAGATAGATTTGAACTGAGTAGCTGTGCGAAAACTCTCCTTGTAACCTGGAATGATGTAAAAAGGTATTGTTGACTTTAGGTTCTAAAATTTGTGAACCTATGGCAATCTGAGTTTAGCTTAGACTGACTGATGTTTTGTCTGCCAGAATTCATGAAAGTTGAATTATATATTATTCCCTGGAAGAAGTCAATTGAAGATATTTTTCTGTTTTCACGTGCCAAGGAGTGTCCTTATTGAGTTGATTTTGTAACTCCATGGGAGTCCCTGTAAAACAATTGACACTGGTGATGCTTTCGTGCAGCTACTGAGTATAATTTCTACCATTGATGACCTCAACTACCCAGAGAAGACACTTACATATTATATAGTGAATGCTCCATATGTATTTTCAGCTTGTTGGAAGGTTAGTCTCCTCATTCTTGTCCCTTGTGTTTTATATTCTCTTTTTATTAAAATTTGTCTGCAATCATCTATACAAGATTAGCACCTGAAGATATCTCATTTAGGAATATAATGTCTTTCTTTCCCTTGTAAAGATGGTATGAACCTTTTTAGAGTGTGCTATTAATGTAACACACGAACTCCAAGCAGGTTGTCAAGCCTCTTTTGCAGGAGAGAACAAGGCTAAAAGTTCAGGTGTTGCCAGGTTGTGGACAAGATGAGCTGTTGAAGGTAGGGCAATTTACTTGGAATGTTGGTTTTGTTGAATAATTGAGTTTATCTACTTGTGCATCTTTGTTTTTAATTTATTTCTGTCAAGTTGGTTAATATGGAGATTTGGGAGCTTGTAGGGTTTTTTTTTTTCACATTGGCCTGCATAGTTTTACGTTGTAAACCTGATGACAGTGAGGGCATATCAATAAGTTCGATAATATTTGAGCTAGTCAAAAAGGGTTGTTGAAACCCTTATTTTAGGGAATATCTCAACTGTGAATCCAAAATTACTGCTAAAAAAAGACTCAATTTTATTTTAAAATCGCAAATTCCCATGCCACCAGCAAGTGGTGCTAATTTAGATGAAAAAGACCATGTTCGCTTGTCAAATAATGGAACTAGATATGGTCTTCGCTAAAATGCACGCCTTAGTGTTTGCAGCTTGCAGAAAGGAGCAAGTCTAGCTTGGATAAACACTCTAGTACTCATCTTATAACCCTATCAACCATGTTATGAAAAAACCAACTGTAAACAGGCACTAACTTTTCATCCATTCCTTCAAATGTTTAGTGCTGTGATTTGGCGAATTGCATTTTGGTGTAGATAATGGACTACTCATCCCTCCCGCATTTCTGCCGGAAAGAAGGTTCCGGATCTTCCCGACATTCAGGAAATTCCTCCTACAATTGCTTTTCCTTGGACCATCCTTTTCATCAACAACTTTACAGCTACATTAAGCAGCAAGCGTTGATCCGTGAACCTGTTGCACCAATCAAACAGGGATCTGTTCATGTGGATTTGCCGGAGGCCGGTGTGGAAGGAACAGAATTTGCCAAGATCTTAGAATCCAAGATCCAGACGTTTGGGAATCAGGATGGGCTTGCTGAAGCATTGGATAACCTGAAATCCGATAATGATCGAACCTAGAGAGCTCAATTCCTCTGTTACTCACGGTGATGATTACAACAGTTGAGACTCGATGTTTTTGATAACTGTTAGATTGGGCAATGGGACTGTTGCTCTTATAATTATAACCATGGATGTCCAATATTAGTATATGTAATAGTAGCTCATTATTTCAATGTGATACGATTCATGTAACTTGACCTGGTAGCAGCCTAGCTGGATCCTCAGTTTAAAGCTGTCCCCAGCAAATATGATGTAGGAAGAAATCTTAGTTGCACAGCTATTACTGAAACTCTGATCTATAGAACGCTAAGTATGAGACAGCATGACATTCACATCCCCTTTTTTTCTTTTTTTTTCTTTGTGTTTTTTTTTTGGGGGGGG